GTGGAATCGCACACATTTTCGCAGCGGGTGATGGCACACAAATCACGGATAAATTCAACAGAACTGAAAAAAAAAAAAAAAAAAAGTCAATCGGCAGGCACCTTCGTGGGGGAGTCGTCGTCAGCAGTTGGTCGGTACGGGTGCATCCAATGGCGCCATAGAAAAAAAGTCGGCGGCTTGCGCTGTCTTGATATCAAAACAAGCGGTCTCTTGGGGGTGTCGGGCGCGAGTGACGAGGCCTCGTCGAATTCCACCGCAGCGGGACAGTCGCGGCCTCAGCAAAAAGACGCAGAAAAGCAGTATTGGTTAGGACGGTTAGCCGTAAGCGCACCCCAAAAGGGCAGCTGGCGTCGTCATCCTCAGGCCGCAGACGTGTCTTCCTGCCCTCTTTCTGTGCCAGCGACGGGCTGCCATTGGCTGATGACAGGTGCATCGGCGTCCAGTACGAGTGCCCCCAGGTTGCAATGTTTCCTGCCTGCTGTACGGACGGAAGTACCTGCACCTGCCTGCGTGCCTGCGTGCCTGTCATCTAGTAATTATCCTATCGCCGGGCACGGCAAGAGCAATTCGAAAAGCAACTGCCTGATGCTGCTGCATTATGATTATGGGAAAGGACACACGACCAGCGCCTGCCTCACGTTGGGTGCTTCCTGCCTTCCAGTGCACCTGCTGTAGGTCATCGTAGAAAACAACGGCAGGAAGTACCAACTGGCAACAGGCTCAACAGCACCTGCCATAATTACGGCGTATCGATATCAGCATCAGCATCAGAATCAGCACCGCATCAGCAGCAACACCGCTGAAGGAAAGGCAAAAGCCGTCAGCCAAGTGCCCGGGTATCCATTGGCTCGGGCTCGCTTCCTAGCCTCTTCGCGCTAGTCCCAATGTGGGCTCCTCGTCCATCGGCTTACGCGTCCCTCTTTCCTTCCCATCAGCGCCCCCCCTCCTCCAGCGAGCAGGCATCCCTGTTCAGCCCGCCCAGAAGCCCGCTTGGCCCGCTTTCTGACCCTGGTCCTCCGAAGACTCTCTCTCAGTCTCGACGGAACGGCCACTCACTCAGTGACTGCAGAGGAAACGGAAGCCCCGTGCCCTGTGCGCTGCACTCCCTTTTTCTGTTACAGACGCCCACCCTGCCCCCGTTACCTCCTCTGGACTGACAACCGTCCACCCCCGGTCCTGTCTGTCCTGTCCTCTGGCTGTTCCGTCCTGCGCTGTACCCCCGTACCAAGAAATCCATACATCCTCTGCCCAGACCCCCCTCCCTCATCTACCCTCCACTGCCTTTTCTTGTCCGTCACTTCCTGTTCTTCTTTCCCTCTTCTCCATTCATCACTTCAACCAACTCCGACTATCCAAACCACCAAACGAAACATCGTCCTGAGGCATTGGATCCCATCGTCACCAGCCTCATCATCGACTGCGTATACTACTAGGAACCGAATCGGGTCCACGATCACACCGACGGCGTTCGCCACACCTCTACCCAGCAATCCCATCTCGACACCAAAAGGGCTCGACCCTTCCAAACCGACGAGATGACCGACAACATCGACGCTCTCCTCGACTTCAGCGAGTACGACAACGTCTCGTACCAGTCTCCCTCCCTCTCTCCCGCTGCCACCGCAAAGAACACCTTCTCTCGCCCATCAGTCAGCTCCGTCGCGACACCAACTCTGCCTTCAGCATCACAGCCTCTCACCGGCCCGAGCCATCAGTATGAGTTGTACAAGCAGCAGACCGGCATCGTCCCCGGTGCCCTCGCAAACACCCTGGCCGTGAACGAGGCCAACCCCCAGATCACTGGCTACAACGGTGGATTCAGCCTGGACTACCTCCACGGTGGAATGAGCCCCGAGAACGACCTGTTTGACTTCAACACCTCTCCTTCCCAGAACTCCACTGGCTTGGATATGGACATGGAATTCGACTCTCCTCCCGAGTCCCAGTTCTTCTTCCCCAACTCTACCGTCAACCCCACTGCCATCGGCGGACAGGAGTCGCCTGTCGTCCCCTCCCAGCAGGGCAATGTTGGCAGACTCTGGCCCGGCATGCACTCTCAGGCCGCTCTGGCTAAGGCCCAGGCCCAGCAGAGGCAACAGCAGCAGATCATCCAGCAGCAGCAGCAGCGCCAACAGATGGGTCAGCAGAAGCAGCGCACCAAGAGCCAGCAGCCTACCGACCCCATCGTCGAGCAGAAGATCACCCAGCTCCTCAACTCCATGCGTGCTAAGCCCGCTTCCGACGACGGCAACCCGGCTCCTCTTATGAACCTGCCCCGCCCCAAGAAGGATGAGGAGGACATGGACGAGGACGAGAGGCTGCTCGCCAGCGAGGAGGGCAAGAAGCTCAGCAGCAAGGAGCGTCGCCAGCTCCGCAACAAGGTTTCCGCCCGCGCCTTCCGTTCCCGCAGAAAGGGTAAGCAATCACCATCACCACCAGGCCACATGGATCCCGCTGACAATTCGCAGAATACATCACCCAGCTCGAGGCCGAGATTGCCAACAAGGTCACCGAGAACGGCGACCTCCGCGCCCACAACCGTGCCCTGGCCGACGAGAACAAGCGTCTCCAGGACCTCACCCGCATGCTCCTGTCTTCTCCCTCATTCTCCAACTTTCTTGACCACCTGAGCACCAACCCCCAGGCTGTTCCCCAGCAGCCCGCCCCCGCCGTCAAGGTCGAGAGACAGCCCGAGCAGCGCCAGATCCCCAAGGACGTCAACCCCTACAACAACCAGCAGCAGCAGATTGGCATGGCTATGATCCCTGAGCAGAACATGGACTTCTCCATGCTCCAGATGGAGAACGCCGACTTCAACTACCAGCCCCAGGTCTTCACCGTCCAGACTCCCGAGGCCCCTGTCTCTATCGACACCGAGGTCCTCTCCGGCAAGTCTTCCAACTTTGTCGGCGAGCACTTCGAGTCCGATGATGAGAAGATCGAGCTCCCCGCCATCGAGGCTCCCAAGTCCCTGGCTCCTGAGGTCAACGCCCCGGCTGCCGTTGCTGAGGAGGTCTTCGACGACGAGTTCGAGAACGACCCCGAGTTTGCTCTCTACCACTCTGCCCCTGCCCCCGCTACCGAAGGACCCATCGAACTGGACACCGAGGCTTTCTCCCACGTCGAGATCTTCGGAGGTGTCGAGAGCGAGAAGGTCCTTGCCCGCTACGAGCTTGTTGACGCTTCGGAAGAGGAGCAAAACGCCTGTGTCGCCATGGCCAAGGTGCAACGCATCGCCGCCAGCCTCGAGCCTGTCCTCGCGAGATTAGAGTCTCTCTGCCTCTAATTGCTCATTCGTTACACCACCTTCTTTTTAGCACCTTTATTACGGGCATTGTGCGTTACACCATTTCCTGTGCATACTAGCTTGATATCTGGGACATGGCGTTGGGGTTGACATGGGGAAATCACTACTACACCCTAACCGGGATGGCATCTACTTTCATATTTTGTGTTTATTTTGTATCTGTGGCGGATGAAAAGAATTCTATAGGAACCAAGCAGGTTCGGTATGATTGATGATTGTTATCATTGGCGAGCAAGAGATGGAATTCAACGGTCGGCCATAGTCGCCATCGTGTACTAGATAGATTGGGCGCTCCCGCAACTCGATCTAAACAACAATAAAGAGAATCTGCAAACACCTTCGATTGCCGTGCCCTCGTTCCGTGATGTCTTGGTTGCAAACACTTGCCGTTACGCCCATGGTACTTACAATGGGTCCGGCGAGCGGTTGAAGCACGAAACGTCGCGTGGTCAGCCTCAGGAAAGTGCTCAACGCATGGTTTTCAGCCGATGTTCGCATCCTCTCCACTCCACTCATTCATGCCTTGCAAAACCCGAATAGCCTATCAGCGCGCCTGTCAATGAAACGCCTTGGCTTTCTTCTCAGCTTTGATCAGCTCTTGGTCTTTTGCTCTCTGAAATCTAGGTCACCACCCCGACCAGATCGCAGGAACATTGTACGGAAATCTCGTGGCATTTCCCGAGGATTCCCACCTTCCGGCTGCGAAGGGGTCCCTGCTCTCCACGCCTGGCTAGCCATGTGTTTGGCCAGATCCTCCACACCATGGTCACCCACCACCCCTGGTTTAAAGCCCTTGCTTCCGTGCTTGCTCTCGAAGGACGCCGGGATGAGGGTTGGGAATTGTAGGGAGGGGAGGCCTCTTGCCTCTTAGGGCAGGGGAGGGGAACGGGGTGCTGGTTGGTGGCGTTGGCGGTTGCCGACCCGTGCCGATGGCCCAGAACGACGGTAGGGGGGAGTATGGTAGTCCAGGTACGGATAGATAGTATCTTGTCTAGTCTGGTGCTTTGGGGGCCGGGTTTTCCGACGCCAGGGACCCGGCGACGACGGTGCGGCGCGGCATTGGCATTGGTTATGGACCTACTTTGTATGGTATGGAGTATGGATGCCGGCATTGCGAGTTGGGATTTCGGGGTTGAAAGGTTGTATGGAGGAGCTTGTGTTTGGCGTTGTGGTCTTGGCTTTGTAAGAGGGAGTTGTATCCCTTTCACCCTTGATGGGAGGAGGTGAGATGGAGGTGGGATGGCAGCAGAGTGGCCATGGGGAAGATTCTTGGCGGCGGTGGGATGTAACTGTACGTAGAGATGTCGTCTGGTCGTTCGGGTGATGTCGTAGTCTCTTTTCTCTGCCAATACGCCGACGACTGAGCTGACTCCTTCGCCTTCAAGATACCATACTCCACCTTACTGCCTCCGCTGTTCTTTCTAAGGTCATCGTCATTTTCCGTCTCTGCTAAAGCTCAGTCCACCAGGACTATGAATGGCCTACGACGCAACATGTCGCCAGTTGGTGAGCGATGATGTCGAGACGTGTTTGCAAAGCACCCATCAATGCACTTATCGAGGGAGCGGGTATGACGAATGAAGGGTCACCTTCGAGAGCTTTAGTCATTTATTCAACATTGAAGCGCCTGTGGCTCAGATCACACAACACCGGCGACACTACAGTTAACGTATCCAAAACCCCTTCAGACTGCTCAGTTCTCTTCGCTTTGGACCCGGCGATTCTTGACAACGTCTCTGATCCGATCTGTTTCCTCTTCACGCCCGACAGCCAGCACCGATGTCCCAGCCGTGTCCTCAAGAAGCCCGTACCTTATTCGCAGTGTCTTCATCTCTTTCGCAAGCTCAGGGCCATCCATCCAAGTCGTCTCCGATGGAACACTGACGAACTTGGAGTTTCGAATCGTCGTAGAGACGTAGCCGAGAATCTCAGGCCCATACGTCAGGTGTGCGAAGATGACGCTGAGAATGCCGCCGGCTAGCAATACGATGCTGGATAGTAGATACAGAGATACCCAAAGTTTCCGGACCACAACTATCTCTACAAGGGTAGTTGACTCCCCTTCCACGGTAATATTAGATTCAAATGCTACACCCGCATTTGTAATCGTCTCTGATGCTTGGCTCAGCAAAAGGTATGTGTTGATTAGCTGCCCAAGTCGCACTCCGACATTTTTGATATTGATCTCGTCGATTGAGACTGCTGTGCCGTTGGACATGTGTTCGAACATGGGATCTTTGAGATAGTATATACTCGGGTCGGTGAAACCAAGAGCTTGCCTTCCTGTAGCAAGAGGTAGCTCCCGAGAAACGAAGTCGAAGACTTGAGGAAATGATAGATACGTAATGCTTTCTGCGGCGTGCTCCCGTGTAGAGGCCCGCTGCTTAATCACTCTGCATAGTCGTTGGTCATTGCCTTTAGAGCAGCTAATATAGGACTCAATATACTGTTGGGTGATGTTGCAGATGATCTCAACTTGGTCGAAGGCCCTGTTGGATTTGTTCCCTCCAGGTGGCATGACCAGCTGGACCAGTATTCTTGATAGACGACTACTGATCTTGGACTCGTGAGTAAATATGGCCGGGCTGTTTGGATGGCTACTCCGTGAGGAAACAGTGTAGTCTGGCGTTGTAAGCCAGAGCGGGTCGACAAACCTATCAGTAGCCAGACCCCATTGCGTATCACCATTTTGAAAGCCATACCCGCGCCACGTTCCGTTGGAAGGATGTTGTTCTCCTTGAAACCCCCCTGTGACGTTCGTCGTTGCCGTCAATGGCTCACCCTCATTGACGGCAGAGAACCTGGTGACATTAGAACATGTGACATACATGTGACTGGATTCCAGAGTGAAATTGGTGGTGGCGTTTCCGTCAGCAGGGTAGTAAACGGGAACTCCAGCCAGAGATGAGTATTCGATGGCAGAACGATTCTCGGGTACAACCACCCATTCTTTATCCGTGCTTGGGGGCATGAAAGGGATTCTGACATTTCCCCACAGGTCTATCGTATCGATTTTGTTTATCTTGGGCGCTGTGACAAGTAGGGTGTAAAAAGTTCCTTGGCTGGAAAGCATAGGCCTAGGTTGACCATTACCAAGACCGCTCTGTCCTTCGTCTAGTATACCGGAGTCTGGAGGTAAGCTGGTATTGAAGTAAAATATCGTCGTTGGTTGAAGGTCTGAACGAAAGCCAGATCGTAACATACGTAGCACTGCTTGTGCCCCGAGAGGAGAGAAGGACCAAACAAGCAAAAGGACAACTCCAAGCAGGTTAATTGCCCTTGATCGAAAGAGAGAGACAAGGGTTGAGCCAACCGTCTTGCTGCCTATAAGTTGTTCAAGTAACCCGATGCTTCCCCCTTTTTCAAGTTTCCACCGTGCTGACTCTGACATCAACCGGCCAATGATAGCGGCATACAAGATCGGGAATGCTGTCGCGAGCTATCACAAAAAGGTGTTACTATTTTAATGGATTTCGAGATTTGACTGTGACTTACGATAGTGGTAGCATCCTGCCACGCTGAGAAGCTTTCGTTGATTCCGGAGCCATTTAACGAGCAGACAAGCACACCAAAGATGACTGCTGCCATTGGAAGGCAGATGGAAATTAAATCGGAGATGATTGTAGTCACTGGTGTGCTACTTTTGCGACCTGCAATGATGTTTGCTGCCTGATCATCTGTGGCAACAGGCTTGTATTCTGATGATTGATCCTGTATGGAAGGCAGTGTGTTTTCAGCATCAGACGCGCAGGTATTCGTATCAGTATCCTCAGACGAGCCAGAGTCATGTCGTGTCGCGTCGTTGAGCTCATTGGTTACATCTTGCGAGTGTCGAGGAGACACTGGGGAAGCTGACGTGTGGCCAGCCTGCTGGTGGGATGCTTCTTGCAGCAGTGGAGGGGAGGGTTCATGCGAATCTGGCGACATATTGGACTTCATGTCGTAGAGTACGAGGTTGCAAGGGATGTTTGATGGAGGCTTCGCGTCTTTGCGCAGGCGAAATAAGCTCAGACAACACGAGAAGATAAAACGTGCACGGAGTTGATGAAATTTCCTATGAGCCTTCATAGGATCGGCTGACATGTTATACTCTCGTTGGGGGCCAAAACAAGGTCGTACTTCTGCCTCCTTTAGTACCTTTGAAGGGGGGAAACGCCTTACAGCACAGCCGCTCATGCTGACCGGTACATATTTGCTAGCTGTGGCGACCCATCTGGTTGGCTAACATAATGATTATGACGTGCGCCACAAGTGTCATGAAGCTGCACAGTACTTTAAACGAGAGTTGAGTAGGGGTTATTAGTGTGGGATGCTCAAGTCGGGCACACAGGCAATGCAGCAATGTCGCGTGAATAGTGGTTGCAACACGTTAAGTATGGCCCTAAGGTAGATAGATACACGGGCACTCAAATTATACCATCTTCCCATCCATTTACAAGTCACCCCAATCCTCCCTAATAAGATCCGCCCCCTTCTCGCCAACCATGTACACGCTCGCCACAATATTAACGTCCGGCAGGATCGGGATAATGGAGCAGTCCACCACCCGCAGGCCGTCCACGCCGTACACGCGCAGCCGCGGGTCGACGACGCCGCCGTCCGCCTCGGGGAGCATCTGGTTCGTCCCCGAGGCGTGCCAGTTGGGGATGGTGTTCTGGCGGACGTACGCGAGCACGGCGTCCTCGTCGTCCTCGGCGACGGCGGCCGCGCCGGGGGAGACCTCGCCGTGGTCGGGCCCGACGGTGAAGGCGGACATGCGCGGGTGGGCGAGGATCTTGCGCAGGTATTTGAAGGAGGCGAGAGCGATTTTGCGGTCTGTTTCGTGGGCGTAGTACTTTTGGGGAAGTTAGCTTTGTGTTGATGGAAGATTGGCAGGGGGAGAGACAGACGTTGGGGTTGATGACGGGGAACTCGGCCATGGAGTTTGAGCGCAGCGTGACGTTGCCGCGGGACAGGGCGACCATGCTCGAGGCCGTGAGACTGATGTACGTCTCGTTGGATTTGGGCGTGTAGTACGGCGTCGGGCCGGAGGGGTAGAAGACGCTCTCGAAGAGGTACTCGATGTGGGACTGATTGCCGAGCCCCGCGGCGAGGATGGGCTCTGCGCCGATGGCGCGCAGCTCGTCGGCGGAGAGGCGCTGGAAGGCGTTGGTGATGCCCGAGGGCGCGGTGTACTCGCCGGTGAGGTTGGCGGCGAACTGGTCCTGGGCGGCGCGCAGGGAGGCGAAGGTGGCGGCCATGTCGGTGGTGGAGAACTCGGGCGTGGAGAGGGCCATGATGGAGAAGACGGAGTGGTCGTTGAGGTGCTGGCCGACGTTCTCGTTGATGTGAACGGGCGTGATGCCGAATTTGGAGAGCTGGGCGGAGGGGCCGATGCCCTGGTTTTGGTGTTAGTGAAGATGATGATAAGAAGGGGGAGGGGAGTGGCTTACGGAGACCATGAGGAGTTGGGGCGAGTTGAAGGCGCCTGAGCTCACGATGACCTCCTTCTTCGCGGAGACCTCGTAGACGATGCCGGTGGGGTGGTCCATGAACGCGACCCCCGTGGCCTTGGGTTTCGCTCCCGTGGTGTCGAAGTTGATCTTCCACACGGGGGCGAAGTACAGCACGTCGAGGTTCTTGCGGCCGATGGCCTGCTTCAGGTACGAGTCGTAGCTCGAGCTGCGGTGGAACTTGCTGTCCAGGTGTCCCGTCCCCTGCTTCACGCCGGTGCTGTTCCCCGTGTTGTAGTCCTTCACAATCGGGATCTGCAGCGCCTCCGCCGCGGCCTCGATGAAGCCCACGCCCGACGGCGGGACGTACCCCTGGAAGCCGAGCTGCAGCGGCCCGTCCGCATACGCGGCGGGGTCCCAGGTCTTGTAGCTCACGTCGAACCCCTTGGCGGCGTGGTCGTCGGGCGAGTTGAAGGAGGTGCCGCGGACGAAGAGCGGGTAGACGTCTTCCCAGCCCCAGCCGGGGTTGCCGACGCGGACCCAGTCGTCGTAGACGGAGGCGCTGCCGCGGCCGTAGTAGAAGCCGTTGGTGACGGAGGAGCCGCCGAGGCAGCGGCCGCGGTGGTAGCGCAGGATGCGGCCGTCGAGGTGTTCCTGGGGCGTGGTGTAGAAGGACCAGTCGATGGCGGTGCCGCCGAGGAACTGGTTGCCGCCGGGGGCCTTGTAGGCGGAGACGACGTCCGGGTTCGGCCCCGCTTCGAGGACGAGGACCCGGTTTTTGCCGGATTCGCTCAGCCGGTTGGCGAGCACGAGGCCGGCGGTGCCGCCTGGGGGGTTGGGGTGGTGCAGGTTAGCCTTTAGACTTTTATATGGTTCGATTGTGATATGTTGTTGTTTAGACTATGCTTTTTGGGTTTCTTGGTATGTCTTGACATGCAGGAAATGGATGGGATGAGGGACTGGTAAGGTGCGAGAGCGAGACCGACGCGGTGATGTCACGTACCTCCTGCGATGATGAAGTCGTACTCATCCTGGATTGTTTCGCGGTCGATGCCTTTCAGCGGTGCTGCGGATGTGTATGCGACGAGCAGCGCGAGTGCGCTCTGCAGCGTGACTTGGTATTTCATCGTCGTGACTGCTCAGGCTCGTTGAAGTGTCCGGCACGATGGACTGGGCGCAACTTGTGAAGTTGGGGGCCGGCGAAAGAACCGAAGGACGTCAGGACGAAGCAATTGATTTGTCGACTGACAAGTCTCGATGTCCCTCTTCTTGGATTCCACAAACGGGGAAAGGGGGGCTTCAACGAAAGATATACTCCTAGCCATCATCACCACCACCATCACCCCCAATCTCTAAACCGTTGAGACCTCATTCTTGGTTGGACGACTGTTCTCCAAGACAAGAAAGCCTGAATGAACGCCTTTCCAGTTTGCGCAATGGCCTGCGTCATCGTACTTTTGCGCGTCAGCCCCGGGCGAAAGCGAGGCGTGCCGTCGGCGTGCTTGGCAAAAGACCGAAATGTGTTGTTGTTTTGGTCTCGGCGCATTCAATAGCTGGGGGGAAAATCTGGGGGAGCAGGGATTTGAGGTAGAGTTGGAGGAGATGTCAGGCTTGACAGCTGCAGCGGCATCTGGGGAACCTTTGAGTGTTAGCGGACATGCTTTCAACCATGCATGTCACTAACATATGTGGAGTATATGAGATGTCAGCTTGAAAGCTCCAAGAGACATAATTGAGAGCTTTCGCGGCTCAGCAAGACCCAAAACCCAACTTTCTGCAGATCATATGAGAAGGCATTAGCGGGGGGAGAAATGTGGCACAGCAGCCTCTAGCAGAACACAATTGAGACAGGCCACACTCGACCAGCTGCCTACATTGTACGCGGTCGCGAAGGATCGAAAACGACGTATGTCAAGACATTCCGCCGACTGGGATTCCCGTCTAGCGCCGCGTCCGCGTGCCGGTGCTCCCGCGGTTGGTAGTTGGCTGCTCCCGTCCCGCGAAAAAGGTTCTGGCGGACGTTGTCGAAAGTTCAGCAGAAGCAAGCTACCTTACCTATAATAAGTAGCTTAAATTAAGGTCTCTTTTCGTCCAAATGCCGGGAGGAATGACTTGCTGCTTCCCTTCTTGGCAGTTTGCTGATGGAATCTGCCCTTCCTGGGTCCTTGGGAGGTAAGATACGGGACTTGGCGAGAGAGAGCCAAGATGCGTGCTGGAAGGATAAAGGGCCGATGCGAAGCTCCCAGCTTTTGCCCGGCGTGTAGTGTACGACCTGCATTGTGCTTTTCCCCGCAGGAACCCCAAGCCGCTGCCGAGCCTCCAGAGGATCGGTGTGAGATTAGGGTGTCACGGGAGCGGTGATCAGGAACATGCCCACTGTGAAGAGCCATCTTCCCGGTTCGATGCCGCGTCTATTTGAAAGGTAGGCTGACTGGAGGCAAATGTTATTTGTGTTTAACCTTGTTTTCTAAGGGATGCGACCGTATTTTTCGGGTTCCTCTCAAATTCGACCTGGTCTCACCGTCTACCGAGCTGGCCG